TCGCCAGTGCGCGCCGCCAATGATTCTTTAAATGAGTCTGTATTGTCTTCGTAAGAACATCATTCAAATGTATTAACTGCATTGTGAAATAGAGTTACAGTCAAGTTTTACATTTCTTAAGCTTTTAACCATATCTAAGTAAGCCCCAGAGAGCGCTACCGTACGGTAAGAAATTCTGAGGGGTCACGTACTAATTGTTTATATTAATGGCATACTGAGGGCATTCCTATAATGGTGTTATACGGAGAGCCAAAGCTGCTAGAGGAGGATTAAGGAAACCGAGTCGAAATTGCATTTGGCCAGTTGTCCGGAGCAGTAAAGGCGAAATTTGGCGCTTCTGTGTGTTCAGTGAGTCAGAAAGTCACTGTAACAAGTGCTTTTTAATGTAAGTTACTGTAAGTGCTTTTTATTAATAGCACTTCCACCCATTGTGCTTCCAAAAAAACTTTATTATGCAGACATTGTGGTATGGGTCGCTATTTATTAATATGCCCAAGGAAATTAATAATCGATTAAATTTTAGCAACACTTAAAAAAATTTTTGGCAACTTGGATAGTTGGATTAAAGTCTGGTTTTCCAGCTATACTACTATCAACTTTCCATTTGTTTTGACCAATGCCCGGTGTTCAACTGCTGACGATCTTGACATTCGTTTCACTACCTCAGTTTTGAATTACTGATCTGACACTGATTGTTATCGTAGCTACAACGACCAGCTTAAAAACTATGCAACTCTATTAACAAGTTTTAGGATATTTTCCCGCCGAGTGATTTCTTTGTGAAGAAGGACTTTGTGAAGAACCGTGAGGATTGGCTGCGTAGTATATCGAATCTGCTACCTCGTCAAATGCTGAAAGCGCCATTGGCACTCGCATCTATAATCCATGAGTACGAACCGACTGAGCTGCCGATCAAGCCGTCCGATTGGCTAAATGCGCTCGATAAAATGCTTGGCGATTTGCAGTTCACGTGCAATGTCAACGAGATTGCTCTTGCCAACAGCATGAATGGAGGTCAAAATGGTTCCGCAATGTTTTGCAGTTTAATATTACGGCAGAAAATACTTATTTACTGTGATGTTTAACTGGTAAGAAAGGACTGGAGTATGATCACTTTTCAAAATTGTCCATATAGAAATCGTTGGGGATGCGCACCGGGCGGACCCATGTGATCATGCTTTTTTGCAGTATTTCGTGCTGTAATGAGATCGATCGGAAACTTAATAGCTAGGATTTGTGACATACTGGTCCTTGAAGTTCGAGAAATTAATTGTCTACGCGGTACTTGGACAGCGAACATTCCGTTAAAATTTCAACTTTTCAATTTCTCTGATCCTTGAGTTAACAATTTTCCTCCCAAAAAATTTCATAGGTCCGTAAATGAGAACCGTACATATCTGGAAGCTGAATTTTACATCTTTAATTTTTACGTGGCGCTAGGAAAATACCTTTAAAATTTTAGCCCCAAGCTGTCCTATTTCCCCAGCTAGCCATTTTTCTGCCAAAAAATTTTACGGGGCTGTATGTGAGAACCACGCATATCTGGGGGCTAATCTGGTAAACTTTTGTTGTACATTTGCCGGAACGTTCCCTGAAAATTTCAGTTCCCAGCTTTCCTGGTTATCAAGTTAGCAATTTTCGCGCAGGACCCTCACGAGGCCATACGCGGGAATCACGCGTACATGAGGACTGAATTTGAAATCTTTGAGTTTCAGGTGGACGGGAGACATAATCCCAAAATTTTAGCTTTTTAGCTTTCTAGTTCTCGAGTTAGCGATTTTTCCGCATTTTCACCCTCTCGTACGCGAGGTCCAGACTTGCGTGAGAGTTGGTGCCGCGGTCCTGGGAGCGATACTTGAATGGGGAACCAGTAAGCAAAATTTTGGCACTGGAGCTTGTTTGGGTGTCGAATTGAAATACCCGGACAGACGCACACACAAACACACACACATACACGTACACACACATACGGACATACACGAACACACACCATGGGTCGTCACAGTATGCGTTTTTGCAATCTGCGTATAAGCAAAAACGCACAACTAGCTAGCAAGCACCAGCACCAGCACTTCTGTCGCACTTTGAATGAGCTACTAATCGAATTATGTGCTCAAGCCTTACAATTTTCTTGGCTTTAGGTGATACATATTACTACTATTTCACGCACCGTGCGACGCAACAGACATGGCCCGAGTGGATGGGAGTACTACATGGATACGAGATCAATTTCATATTTGGCGAACCGCTGAATACAGAGAGATTCAAATACACGAAGGAGGAGCAGGAGCTCAGCTACAGGTTTATGCGCTACTGGGCCAACTTCGCTCGCACTGGGTTTGCTATTTTCCATTATTAAAGTCCAGGAAGAATAAGATGCCTCATGAGCCATTCCAGCTCATCCAAGGCTATGTTGTGGTGCGTTTTGAACTTGAATTGACTCTGCTGCAGTGACGTGAGTTTTCAGCTGAATTTAAGTTAAAACATGTATGGCTGTCATACTGACGAGGTCCAGCTATAGTGCTGAATGAGAAGTTATATTAATTAATGGGCCGAAATACTCCTGCTCATCTTATTATGCGTTTTTTGCAGTTGTGCAATGCAAAAACGCATATTGACAAGGGGTTGTCTGTGTGTTCGTGTGTCTGTGTGTGCGTCTGTCACGCACTTTCATCTCAAGACCTATAAAAGCTGCCGGGCTGAAATTTCGGGAACTTAATCTACATGCACATGCCAGTCCCAACCCCAGCCAGCACTCTTGGTACCCGCGTACGGGCCCGCCAATGTTTTTTTCGGGTAGGTTCATAACTCGGGGATCTGAGAAGCTAAAATGCTG